AAAAATATACATACTGTAAACAAATAGACAACCGTTTGGATTTGCATACGGATTTGTCAGCTTTTGGTTACCAGACCTGATCACTAAACATTACCCAAGAAACAAAGCACAGTCCTGTGCACTCTTCTGTCCTTTACAGCCTGCATCCCAGCTCTTATTAGCAGGTATTAGGTCACAAATTGCAACCTCCAGGCTGATTAGTGTAATTGTGTTTAAAGCTCAAGCTCAATTCCTTCCCAGATTTCTCTATCCTCTGCTTTCTAATCCTGTAAACTCCCCAGCGAAAATTGACGTGTCAACATGAATGTGAAGAGCATTTCGATGTAACCTGGAGGCGAATCATATGGTGTACAAATGAGAAGAGCAACGGCAATGCTTTGTGCGACGTCTCAAACTCATTTTCTGTAAAAGTGTCCTATTTCTGATCAAATGAGAGCAACTTGTGTTTCAAGTGAGGCATAACAGACAGTCATTTACTCACTGCCCCAAGGCTGTCAACAGCAAGTAATTGTTTGCGATGAATTTTGAGTCAGATTTTCTAAGAAAAAACACTTTCTGCATGACATGTGAAAGAATGAGTCACCGAAAAACAGTCACGATTGCTGCAATACTGCTCTGCGCAAAATGTCAGCTCTGTGACCTTCCCGCCTGCTCGAACACGGTCAGAAGAGCACAGCCTCGCAGCACTGCAGGAGAAACGCATGAAAGAAACAAAAGAGCTCTCGCTGAGCCACATACTTACACCATACATTCACACTTAGCGTAGAAAGGAAAGCGTCAACACCACTGCTGGAGGATGTTACTTGTAAAAGTAGCATGCTAAAATACTGCATTACTTATTACATAACATAAACATAAACATACAGAACATATACAAAACATACAGTAACTGATACTAAATTAGATATTTGATTGAAAAAAAAATATACGAGTATGTAATATGCAGTGCTTATTTGATCAAAATAACTACACAAGTCAAACGTCACTTTACTCGTTGAGAACAGCAATTCGATAACGCAACTTGTAACATATAACAGCCCAAAACACTGCTCACCACTATCAGAAAACCATGACATAAATCCAGAAGAGCAACCGTCTGTGCAGCATTCATGGCACTGGACATCTAGCAGACTTCACTGTCCTAAAACAACATAACACTTCCTGCAGCTGCCAAAAGCCAAGGTTCCAGATGTCCGAAGGTTAGGTGAGACGTGTGAAAACAGACTCGGGCCTGTCCTGAGAGGGAAAGCGAGAGTCAAACAGTTCTGGTTAAGGCCTGGGCCACCCTCCTTCTCCATAACTCTGCTGCAGGAATGCCCCGATAATGAAGACAGTGATGCTGAAGCAGGGGGCACAGGACCCATGCCAGCCCACAGACACTGGAGCTCTTCTTAACACACAGCAGATGTCAGAGAGAATGTCTTTACCTAAACCTCCTAAAACCTAATGGACGTTTTTCCTCAAAAGCAGAAAACTTTCCAGAATGTTTCGAGAGAGAGAGAGAGAGAGAGAGACACCGATAGCACTCTCTAATGCCATCAAGTACATCTAAGCAATGTTACCTGGACCTTACGTGCATCTAAAAAAAATTTGTCAACAACTTGTTCTGGTCATGTTCATAAAACAAAACAAAACAAAACAAAACAAAACAAAACAAAACAAAACAAAAAGCACTATTTATTCATTTCTTTCCATAACAATTCGGTATATTTCCCTTCTGAATTTTAATGGAACATGAAAAAAATTTTTTTTTTAAAATGCAATTAAATAATGAATTTGTAAAAGTTTTTAAGTAAATTAATAAAGTACATTCATAAGTAGAGCCCGACCGATATATCGTTTTGCCGATTTTATCGGCCGATATGAGCCTGTCGCAGATATATCGGTATCGGCGAATATGCCGCAGATATGCCGCCGATGTGAAACACTGCTCCACATTTTGTAGCCATTGAATGTCACAATCTTTTATAGTTGTGTGTGAGTGTGAAAAAACGGCTTCTGCATCTACAGAAGGAAAAAATGGTTTCCACGAACGTCAATGGAAGCAAAGGTCACAGAGTTTATTCCATGTTTTTTGGAACCAGTTCTGAGTAAGTAAACCTGAACGGGTGTAAGCAACCCTAGTGAAAGTGAAAAGACAGGGAGGGACGCATTGAGAGGAAGAGGCTTAGTTTTACCCGTCTTGCGGAGCGGGAAGTCATCTTTGGGGTCGTACATTCCCAGCACCGGGTGGTTGTAAGTGGAAATCCCTGTCTGAGGTGGTGAGCTCTGGTCCAGGGAGCTGTGCTGGGTTTTCCTGTGGAACAAATCACAAACACACACACAGGTACTCAAATATGTGCATTTCTAGACATTTCCACACACAGCTGCTCACCATTCCCAGCAGCGTGAATATATTAGTCGCTTTCTGCCAACTAATGGGAATGCAAACTCAGATCACCCATAATGCCTCAGTGCAGTCAAGCATGTTTATTCTGTTTACAAATAAACATGCTTGAGTATGACACACTTTCAGACTCAAAAATATCAGCTCCAGCCCATCAAAGCTCTGCAAAAATAAAGGGATTTGCTCCTTCTAAACGGGAAAGACAACTGCAGCGGGGCATCTGAGGTCAGCTGGCCTCCCCACAGACCCAAGAATTTAATCTGGCTCACCGTCCGCCCATCTCACACAGGCCAGGAGCTCCAGATCTGTTTTAATAGCACACGCAAGCTACAGAAATGACTCACTCTCAGTCAACCCTAGTGCAAATGCTGTAATCAGTATGTCGGAAATAAGGAAGCAATTGGATGAAACATACACTGCTATTCAAAGGATTGAGGTCAGTCATTTTTTATTTTTATTTTTTAAAGAAATGTATTTTATTCAGCACGAAAGCATTAAATTGAACAAGAGTGACAAGTCAAGTTTTTACATTGTTACAAAACAAAAGTGTATTCATTTTTTATTTTTATTTTTTAAAGAAATGTATTTTATTCAGCATGAAAGCATTAAATTGAACAAGAGTGACAAGTCAAGTTTTTACATTGTTACAAAACAAAAGTGTATTTTTTTTAAATTAAATTGAAATTAAAGATATAAAGAACTCAAAAAATATAAAATTCAAAAGCTAATTCAAAGAAAGATAAATAAATAAAGTAGATAAATAATAAATAATTTAGCAGAAAAATAAATTTATAAAATAAAATAAATAATTTTAAGACATTACTTGATTATCAGAAACGTTGGTAGTTGCAGCTCTAGATAAAGCCATTAAATTTACATGCGTAACAAGAATGTGAATATATCTTATAATTAGATTTAATTTAAAGAACTATTAAACAAATACATTTTACAAATAACTATACTATTAAGTAAACAAGTAAATTAAGTAAACAAATAAAAAAATAATATACATTAAATAACATATATTATTTAATAAACAAAAATATTTATGAATTCAATAAATTCAGCTTTGTCATCACAGGAATAAATGTCATTTTATGCATTTAAATATAAATCAGAGATACTACTACTGCTACTAATGATTTTATTGTATTTTAGATCAAATAAATGCAGCCTTGGTGAGTATTAAATAATAATAAAAAAATCTTAATTCTTAAAAAATCTTATTGGCCCTAAACTTTTGAATAGTAGTTTATGTTCATAAGTATGTAAATGCAAAAGCCTGGAACATTTCTTTCAAAAGGAATGTTCTCTTTCCATTTTCCGAGCCTCACAGATGAGGAGTGTGAAAGGTGGGTTTGATGGATTGTGAGTTTTTCACACAAACACACTCCTATTCACATCCACACCCTCACACACTGACACACGCCTCCTCTTCACCGCTATCTTTCACACATGACAAGCTCCCCAATCAAAATTTGCTCAAATATTTCAAGAACCCAGAGGTGACAGCTACATCTTTTGTGTGGTGAAGGGAGAAACAAAGCTGTCAATCAATCAAAGTAGAAACTTACATAACATGGTTTTACTTTGGCTTACAGCTGCAAGCGAACCACTATACTACACTCTGAAGTTTGGCATCAGCCTTGTGTAGCATGTGGATCTTTAGCTTCGTTTTGATCTGCTTTTAAGATCTGTCTTAGGTAATCTGATCACAGCGCTAAATACAGGTGTAAACAGGTCCGAACCACTTCAGTATTCGGTCACTCAAACCACATTCAGAGCTAGTTAAAACACTTGTGACGACACTATATTCATAGTGTAAATGTTAATCTGTCCTGATGCATCTCAGATAGCAGTGAACAACAACTACTCACTTGCCAATCAATCACTGTGCTCATCATTTGGAGAAAATAAAATAAAAAATTATACAAAATTAAAGCCCACCAAAATAAATAAATAAATAAATCGTGCAGCTGACAAATATGCAAAAACAAATCAAACAAAGAAACAGCAAATCAATCTCTTTCTTACAGGGAAAATAAAATCAAAACAAAGAAACCGCAAATTAATCTCTTTCTTACAGGGGAAAAAAAATCAGATTTTTTTTGTAATAGGTGCAGCTGACCTGCACTGTTTGTCATAAATATGCACAAAAAACACAGCAAATTAATCTCTTTCTTACAGGGAAAATAAAATAAAATAAATAATAAATAAATAAAAATAAAATACAATAAAATAATTTCTCTAATTTCCACTTGGCTTTTTATTAATTTAAAATGTTTTTTTCTTCTTATTCTTATTTCTTTTTAAATCAGTTTTTCACAAGTGAGGCACTTGACTTGTGTAAACCTGTTTAGTATTTTTTTATATTATTATACTGTGTGTATATATATATATATATATATATATACACACACACACGCACAGAGAAATATATCATATATTTATTTACTTCACAAAACCAGAAAGCTGCATGTTAATGTTAATTGTAAACTGCATGCAATTTTGTCTTAAATGACTGCTTTGTCAAAACCAGATGTAAACAGGACCTGTAAGATGTCTGAAACATCAGCACCGATCAGGTTGCGATACTCACCCGTACCAGTAGCGCGGGTCGTTGGGCAGGCAGTGGTTGAGGCTCCTCTGGGCCAGCGCTTTCTTCTTGTTGAGGACGAACTCCTGCAACCTCATCTTCACCTCAGTGCTCGCCACAGCGCCTGTCGATCACAGCCCACAGTTCAGGAAGATCACAAACAGTGAAATAAATAAATATATGTTATATTTCTCTGTGTGTGTGTGTGTGTATATATATATATATATATATATATATATATACACACACACACGCACAGAGAAATATATCATATATTTATTTACTTCACAAAACCAGAAAGCTGCATGTTAATGTTAATTGTAAACTGCATGCAATTTTGTCTTAAATGACTGCTTTGTCAAAACCAGATGTAAACAGGACCTGTAAGATGTCTGAAACATCAGCACCGATCAGGTTGCGATACTCACCCGTACCAGTAGCGCGGGTCGTTGGGCAGGCAGTGGTTGAGGCTCCTCTGGGCCAGCGCTTTCTTCTTGTTGAGGACGAACTCCTGCAACCTCATCTTCACCTCAGTGCTCGCCACAGCGCCTGTCGATCACAGCCCACAGTTCAGGAAGATCACAAACAGTCAAGCAGCGGGACATTAATGGCATTTTCTCAGCCTCTAGCCGCGCTATAACGCTAGATCTCTCTAAAAGCCTCGGGAAGGGGTTTTATGCATTTGTGACTGTCAATTTCTTCGCCATTTCTAAACCCTGTAATTTGCAGTGCTGTAATTTCGTCTTCTAAATGCTCTTAAAAAAACTCTTAATAGTCTGAGACTGAGAAGATCGAACAGTGCCCAATTGATCACGACCACAAAGGCTGACACTTGTTTTCTGGTGTCGATAAACCGCTCTTCCACTGCAGCCAGACTCGGTTCAGATATCTCTTCACATCTGAGGAACGACCCCTTTATCCGGTCTTAAATAGAGTGCAAACTCTCTATTCCAATTCCCTTGAGACCGCCACGGTTAAACAAAGACGTCTTTTTTCTCACTATTATTCCCTCTCTCAAAGAAACGCATCAGATGGATGAATTCTCACAGCTTTTCCTTCAATTACCACCTTTCCCATCGTCTGTAAACATGTCCCCAGAGGCCGTCGCTGGTGTACGCACACATCTGCGCCGCCAGACAACACGCACTCCTCGCAAACAACAGGTGACCGCCGTGTCAACGACAACAGTGACAGATAAAAATAGACCGGCTGTACTGTACTGATAATCTTATAAGATATCAGACCATTGGTTTTGCCAAAAACTACCACAGACTTAACAGGCCACGCACACTAGCTATGTTTCCCATTCTCCTATTTTTATGCACATTTTGAGATATCGCATTAAAAAAAACAATCAACGTAAACACTAGGGCTGGGTTTTGACACAAATTTCACGATTCGATTCGATTCTCATTATGTTATATGGTGCATATATTTAGCAAAATGCCCCTCCCTACAGTTTATTTTTCTATCTCACTAATGAGTTTATGGTCACCAAATATGTTTTTCTGAGGTAAATGTAACATTACGTGACATTGTTTACAAGACGTTATGTTGACTTCTTTGCGCGAAGGAAACACTGATTGAGCGATTACATGAGACAGGATATGGATTGTAAAGTTGTACTCTTTCTTTTAACTTACCTTCGGATGTTTAGTCATGTTTATTTTGTGCTGAAACTGGCATTAATGTGGAGGAGATGATCAGTTCACGTGTGCCTCGCGCTGTTGAACTGAGGCTCTACAGCGATCTGTCACTCCACATTAAACAGCGCCAAAACGGCATTTATTGTTCGAATATTGCAATGCAATGGACAGAATTTGAAATCTGAGACTTTGTTTCATATTAAAAGTACCAAAGCACAATGCTTATTGCGATATATTGGATGGGAAGTGCCCTTCAATGTTCCGTCCATTAACTGAAAACAGGCTAGACTAATCGATTCTTGGGATTTAAGAATCGATATCGTTCCGTAAAAATGAGAATCGATTAATATCGAGATATCGATATTTTTTACCCAGCCCTAGTAAACACCAAGATGCAAATAAATACTTTAAATGTGCATGAAAAAAAACTCGGTTAACTTTTTTATCCAACAGGAAAACGTGCATAAACCAGAATGGAAATGCATTTACCAAATAAATTATTTGATGTGCATCAAAAAAGTAATGTGACTTTGCGCGATAGGATGGCATAACCGGACTAACGTTGCACAGCAAGATAATATGACTGCATTTACTGCATTTCGTGTGTGCACTCTGACGTACAACTAATTTATTATACTGTATATGAAAAAGACCCACAGTGACTTCTCATACTGCAGCAAATTACCTTTTTCGTAGTGATATTTGATGGCAGTTTATCAGAAAGTTACGATTTTGTTCTCTTCGTCTTGCTGGATGGAAACTTTTTTGGTGCTTTTTTCATAAAAAAGATTTATGCGATATTGCAATTTTGTACACAAGTTAAATTCGCAACTTCGGCTGAAAACATGGCTACTGTTTCAGGAGTGAAAACTGCATATAAATATGGGAATGAATGCCCTTAATTTGTTTGTTTGTTTGTTCATGTTTGGAAGGCTACTTTGCAGAACACGTTCTTGAAAGGGTTGCCATGTCCACTTATTATAAGCAACACAAATTAAGCATCTTTTTGCTTCTTGTTTGCGCTTAGATCATAAAGCGATCCAGTTTCTGGAGTTAATAAATTAAAGCAGTAGCTTATTTTCAATATAATGCATTTAGATTTAAGTTTATTATGGGCTTGTTCTTTGTTGTTGTTTTTTTCTGAATTTATCAGGAGTCAATACGGTTGTAGAATGCGGTTGTCACTCCTGTAAATTACTGAACTGTGCGTGTACAGAACAGGATTGAACACTAAAAGGCGAACTGACAAACAAATTTACATGCAATGTATATGTAGTCATAGTGAAGAAACAGAAACCACATAGTTACTCTAATAATGAGTTTTGCATGAGCAAACACCCTTAAAATTTAGTTTTTTTTATTGAAAATTATTTTAGAAGGAAAACAGGTGGTTAGAAAGAAGTGATGCAGGTCAGACTCAAACTTATATCATCTACATGAGTGGTGCGATATGTGGTCTAACATGGTGTGACTGCTGACTACTGACTGAAAACTGACTACTTCAGGCAAGTTTTTAATTTTGGTTATGAAAAGCAATTATAATGCTGAGGCACACATCCATGCCACAGTGCTGATTAGCCTAATAAATCAAAGACCTTTATGTGTAGCAGTCAGGTAATTAGTTTTTCACTCACTCTCTTGGCCACGTTCTTTGTTTTTGAGTAACTGGAGCTTCTGTTCCCGCTGCTGTTTCTCCAGCTCCTGTTCCTGACGATGGCGCTCCAACTTCCGCTGGTGTTCCAGGAGCTCCTGCTGATGTTTCACGGCCAGGAGGTCCTGCTGATGCTGAAGGGGAGGAAAAAGAACACGCACATAAACATTATTCAAGTGAATAATGTGGACAATGTATACAGTGGACCTTGATTTCAATTGTCTTAAAGTCCTCATAAATTCATCAAAATAAGTTTTTTATTTACTCCTTTTTTTTAAACACAACATTATTCTGTTTTTATTGTGCAAGATTCTTCGGTGCATGTTATTTCAAATATATACATAAAACATAAATACAAATTCAGCTTTTTAAATTGTAATGACATTTCACAATAGTACTGATTTTACTTTATTTTTAATCAAATAAATAAAAGCCCTGGTGAGCATAAGAGACTCCTTTTTCTTTACATTTATATTATTATTATTTAATTTATTATTATTATAATTTTTTTATTTTTTTTTACAGTTTTACCAATCGGATTATGGTAGTAAAAAGATGAAAACAGCATTTCACATTGACTCTACATTGACACGACTACACCAAAGTCGTACCACCAATAACTAGATGCAATTGTTGGAAATACCGACATCATACAAGAAAGCAGTTCCTGAATGTGTTTATCGATGTCTTGTTGTGTAGCATAAAAGCAACATTCCACTTTTTTTCCAAATGAAACTAACATAAGCAATTACCTCAACAGCTCCCTGACTAAAATGAGTGTTTAAAGACGCTGGTAATCTCTCTCACACTGTGCTCTGTAAATGCAGCCATTGCGTCTAACATTTCCCTTTAACTGCATTTCCACTTCTGCAGTTATTCTGCTCAGCAGCAGTCACATCCATTACTGGCTTGTGATGATGGGTAATATCAGAGACGCATACAGCTGATGCTTGGATGCTGAGTGGATATCGGTGATTCTGGTCAGTTAAATCACATTAACACTGGCACAGGGTCTAATAAAGCTCATGGCTAGTCTGTAAGCAAGCAGTTACTTAAGAAGATGCTTTTATCCAGCCTCGATACTACTCTTTTTGGTTATATAAGTCTTTCCTCTCACTTTCTGCAGATCCTGGGAGATCACCGGCGATGAGTCATGGGCGTCTGTCACTTGGCAGAGCGGGGCTGGAGGATGTGATGACGCTGGAGTGGAGAGCACGTCTATCGAACCGCAAAGACTCTTCCTCATCAGACAAAGCTCTGACATATCTAACTGGAGCTTTTTAAACCATGCCATCTACCTCACCTCATCAATATGCATGGGTCTAACCACCATTTCACATCACATCTGGGCCATCTAAGACCAGAAATAAGCGATGACACGAACCAATCTCAAGGATGACATGCTTCCCCCCCCCCAAAAAAAAATTATATTAATTAACATTAATAATCACTATTACAGTATAATTTTTTTTTTTTTTTTTTTTTAGTATTTATCGGCTATTATGCACCTGAGCAGCATTAAACAGTCTGTACAAATAAACATACAAGCCATGTCAGATTCAGCTTCTTTTCCACTTTTGCAGTGTAAAGATGCCTTTTGTTGATGTTGAAAAAAATCTGATTGGTAAAATAAAATAAAATAAAAATGGAAAAGTGGTGTTTGGTCAATGCATTGCGACAATCAGTGTAAAGTACTTTTTATGTGATGTATTGCTAATACATAAATTGAAAAGTAAATTTTATGAATTATATATTAAAAATCATTAAATTAAATGTTATTTAAATAGATTTTATTTCATATATAAAATAAACTATTTATAAAAAATCTACTGGTATATAATATTCATTACAATAATGACCATTTAAATGCATTAAAAGTTGAAT